CCCCAAAACCCCAAAACCCCAAAACCCCGCCAGATGCAAATTTACAAAAATAAGCAAATTTTGAATAAATTTAAATAATGGAAGATCAAGATAGCATTTTGCCTTAATTCAACTATCTCAACCTTACCTCAAGTTCTCTACAATCCAATAAAACATTGGCAGACACTGATAGAATTAAAACCATCGAATTAGCATCTGAATCTCTGCTAAAAGAGATAGGAGTAGATATAGAGAAATTTCTCTCCAAGGACTCTTTTGATAGTTTTGAATCTTATAGATCATAATATACTATTCCTAAGCCCTCTCTGAATAGTAGTGCATTTGTTTTGCCATCTCTGAGTGATTTGAGTTAACTTACTCCTCCAGACAAATAAGCCTATCCTAAAAGTAACAGTAATCAGAATTTCATAAGCTCACAGGGTTCAAGTAATAATACTATATCAACAGCAACTGGTTAAGTTCAAAGTAATAAAATACTAGATATGAAATTCAGACAAATGAATATGAATAGATATATGCCTACCGATGAGGAAAAAGAGCTATTCCAAGAAAATCACAAGCTCAGAATGCAAAGGATTGAAGAAAGATTCAAGTAGAATATTCAAATTGAACAGAATGTAGGAATTGAAGAAGAGATTGATGATAAAGTTTAAGTATTGGATGAAAATGATGAGTGCAACTAGAATTATGGAGAAAATACTAATTAGACTTCAGATATAAAAATAGTAGAGGCAGTAGACCAAGATAATATGGAAAAGATGTTCTAAAAGTCATTGTCCAAAAAATAAGCTCAAGTAATTGAAGCAGATGAAGAGGCTTTCGAGGATGATATGTAAATTTAAGATCTAAGTGATGATGAATATACCTAGAATTAGAGTAAATTTGGGAAAGAAATAAAACTTGTTTAGAAGTCTAAGGAATAATCTGATTATGAAAATCAACTTAAAGCTATTAAAATTCTTATTGAAAGAGATCAGGCAAAATAATAATTAGAATAATTGTAGAATGATGATCAGGAACCGAGTGTTTAAATAGATACTACTATTACTAGCAGCAAGCAATAAGTTACAGAGAAATATCTAAAGAATGAAGATGACGAGGATTTTGATGGAGTTGATGATATTTTAGATTTTGAGGAATCTAAGAAATATGAAGTTATCAGGACTGCAAATTCTAATAACTAACACAGTTTATAGATATTTGACAATGAATAGAATGATTAAATTGGAAATTCAAAGTTTAGAGAGTATATGAGTTGGTAGACTGGGGACAGTTAAAGTGTAAATAACCAAGATGCAGTACAGATTCTTGATGTTAAGTTTCCAGATCCCTATATGATTCATGAAGAAAGATAGGCATTCTTTGATTAGGAGTATCAGGCATTCAAGTATAATGAGCATGGAATCTACAGCGATAACAGTGAGGACGAAGAAGCAGAAGAAATTATAGTCAATTCAAAGTAGAAAAAATGAAAGTATTTTGTATGTTGTGGTGCTTATGAGTTTAATGTATAAATATGTTAAAATCTCTGGGATTTATTAAAACCATTAATTTAATGACTTATGTTCAATTAATAAACAGTTTATTTATAGGATAGTATATGTGTAAGCAAGTAAGAATTCTGAATTGATCCTGCCTAAGAATTTCATTCAAGAAAATTAAATCCATTTTCTATATAAACCTTTCATGAGTAGTATTTAAGATCATCCTCAGAGAATTTTCTTTTAGGCAATACACCATTATTATTCACTAATACTTCTTCTTATTCTATTAGTTATTCTTAAGGCTCTGTATAAAATTCTCTCTAAGTTTAAGGGCCTCTCTTAATGTCTCTAACATTTGGATGCATAGTGTTTTCTATCTTAGAATTAAGTCCTTTCCTCGGTGGACACACGAGACATTCAAGGCATGATAATCCACCTTTATCCTTCCTAGTTGCTAAAATAGCAGTATCAGAACTTTGAAATTCAATACCTTGTTCATCCTAATGCCTATAAGATTGATTTAAAACCAGAATTAAAATGGGAATTTATGCTATTTATAGGGTTATGAATTAAAAGGAACACTTGATTACTTTTCATTTATAGCATATTACCAAAGCATGTAGAATTCTTCCATTGAAATCCTAAACTTGATGGCATTACTTATATCTCTATCAATGATAACCTGGATGTAGTCATAAAGGAATTCCAAATTATCGGTCAGCTTTTTAGTTCTTCTAAAGTTAGTAATTGCCATGTGAAGTAATCTTTTAAATTCAGCCATATCGATTTCTTTTCCTTTAATGAGTGATTATTTACTATTAAACACTGAGTATTTTATTACTTATAACCTTCATTTAGTAGTAGAGCTCTTTTACTGTTCTATTTTCTATGTCTGAAAATTCTTTGATCCAATACTTATCATTTTTCACTCGAGTCCCCTCGAACATCCCGCAACCAGTTCTGTTTCCCATTATTAAAATTTTAATTTAAACTCAGATTATTGCTATTTCTATGCCAATTTTGCTATTTGGGGTTTTGGGGTTTTGGGGTTTTGGGG